GGTTACATTTAATCTCTACACAATCAAACAAACTAACAAAATGCTAAAATATCATGTTGTGTGTTGTCGGTAAAGTGTCTTGTCGGTAAAGTGGGTGTCAGTAAAGTGGGTGTTGGTAAAGTGTCCAGGTCTGGTAGTTAACAGGAGAGTGAGTGAAATGAGCAAGATGTATGTAGCACATCTATAACAAAACTAGAAAAAATAATAGTTAACAGGAGAGTGAGTGGAATGAGCAAGACATGTGTAACAAAACTAGAAAAAATAATAGTTAACAGGAGAGCAAGTGAAATGAGCAAGATGTGTGTAGCACATCTATAACAAAACTGGAAAACTAATAAATTGATAAAATTTTCAAATTAAATATTTCTGCTATCTATATAAAAAGAAATCAAAAAATGTTATCTTATATCATTAACTATATCACTAAAGCAATTTCTTATCTAGATGATAGTAGGAATTTATTTGAGGATGGAGATTTAGTAGAGGTCAGAGAGATCGTAGAGTATGTAAAAATACAAAAGAAATATAAGTGACCAAGAGCTAAAGCTATTTCATCTGGGAAATACACTAAAAATAAAGGAGAAAGGGTTCCAGACTGGAGAAGACGTATTATTCCAAAATACAATGAACTAAAGAACCAAAATTTAAATCCTGAGAGCAAGTATTACAATACTGATAGAATCAATAATTTTATAAAAGAAATAGAAGAAATCGAAGCAGAGAATCTTGGAATTTACAAGATATAAAAAGCTATTAGTTGAAACCCTATCATTTCTTGTAACTTTATACAAAAATTCTTAATAACCATGGGAATAAATAAAATAGAACTTCTAGTTTCTAAGATCTTTTAATAGTAAGTTCTTGATTTCATGTATTGGTTTAAAAAAATAATTTTGTTAACCAACTATACAAATTTCTTATTAATAGTAACCATATAGAACAAACTTCTAGTTGTCTATTAATGAATATGCCATAAGTTTGCTTTTATCTAAATTTACAAACATTTACATGTAAGGATT